AGGGACATGTGTTGTGTAGTGTTTGTGGGTACTACTGAGTCATGGGCACATTCATTACATTTAATGTAACGTTACATTTGACATGAGTTGATTTTATTTGTGCACTGAGGCGGGCTGAGTTTGTGTGTAGAAATGAACACTGGGCTGTGGGCATTTTATTACGCTCATAACACCATCGGCTGTGGCCGGAATACCAGAAAATACTACACTGCTTATATGAATTTATCTGGGTTACCTTGGAAACGGCATTTGTGTGCAGGCAAGCGTCCGCATCAGTCGGGAACCCTTCCCCTCACGCCAGCGAGCGAAGCGAAAGCTGGACCAATGTTAATCCTCGTCCTGGCTTTTAATTTGTCACTCTCCCCTTTTCTTTTTTTAGTTTCCTCTGATAAAACCGTTTAGCCTGACTACGTCAGACTTCCTACTTCTGCTAATTTCATTTCGCTCCTGTAGTCAGTCAGAGACAGCAGTACTAAAAAGTAGGGCTGGGTAATAAATATCGATTTCTCGATATTAATCAATTCTCATTTTTACGAACCGATATCGATTCTTAAATCTCAAGAATCGATTAGTCATCCTGTTTCATTTGAATGAATGGATCATTGTATCACGGCTGCGCGCATCCAAAAAATCGCAATAACCTTAGTCCAGAAAACCCACATAAACTCGTTAGTCAGCTAGAAAAAATAACTCTAGAGAGGAGCATTTTGCTAAATATATACACCATATTACATATGCATTATAATCTTAATGTTCTTCAATATTTAATTCAAGTTTGAATAAATCTGGCAAGTTTTTATGACAGCCAACATTTAAATGTTTATATTTCATACAATCGTCTTATTATAAAAATAAATAAAAGTGTAATTTAAGTGTTTGTATAGCTACAAAAAAGTTAATTATTACCTTCATATTAGGCTAATGAAGCCTATTGGCTACAACTAGACTCCCATAGTTTACAGCATTAGTTAAGAGATTTGATTTCCTTGAGAAAAATGGCCATTTATTGTAACTGATATCCAAAATAATCGATATTGAATCAAATCGAAATCGAATCGAATTGCAAGCTTGTGAACCGAAATCGAATCGAATTGTGAGATTTGTCTCAATACCCAGCCCTACTAAAAAGTCTGGTTTAGTTTCTGAGAATGTATGGATATGGAATTTAGCCTTAAATAAAACAATTAAAAATTATATCTGTGAGTTTTGTCTTTCTGTCTTGTAGAGACCCAACAGCACATTTCCACGGTCAAAAAAAAGTATAAATATGTATGTAAAAATAAATATTTACAGTATAACCATGGGAGTATATTTTCACACATTATATATATAATTTATATTTTATTTATTTATTTATTTGTTTGAAAAAAAAAAGAAAAATAAATGGTGAAGGATTTTCAATCAGAAATTGCTAAATTAAACAATTTAAAAGAAATAGCAAGGAACACTGAATAAACATGTTTTTTTGTTGTTGTTGTTTTGCTGAAAGGCCGAAATAGTATCTGAAATAGTAAAAGCTGAAAGGCTGCAATAGTGTTTTCTTATAAAAAGTAGTAATCTTTGTTTTATTTACAACTTCGAAAAATCATTTTACCCAGTATGCACATGCTATTTAGATTCCATCTCTTGCATTTTTCAATTTGAACATAATTTAAGGGCTTAAGATGGTGTTAGCGCTTGAAGACCGGTAGTTCTGCAGTATAGGTCATTTGAACAAACCCACAGGGGTCGCTGACCCACTGCTAGAAGCGCTGATTTCTGAAACACGGAGAGAAAAAGAAAACCTTGCCATAATGTCTAGGTATTAAGACGTCTCTTATCTGGCCCTGCGTGAACACTCATCAGTAACTTAGGAGCCATTCTTCTCATTTTCTGACCTTTGACACTACTATTACCACAAACAATACCTCATCTCTCTGTCTTTGTACTAGAGTGATGTACCAGGGCTATTTATCCAGCTTATTTGTGGGCAATAGATAGACAATTAGGGAATGAGTTTTTCCCCCAAAAAGACCCTTGCTGAGGACAACCAAAGGTTCACATTTTTAATCAGCCCAATGGAATAGAGCCATGAAGCTTTTAAGGATAAAGACAGAGCACTTTAAACACACACACACACACTAGGGAATACTGTGAACAGAGAAATAGGCGAAGGTGATAAATCTCCTATGAGAGGCCTGAATCTGCAGGCAAACAAGATGCGTGTGTGAAATATGTCTAAAAGCTCAAAGGTAGTCCAAGTCTTAAATGACCTTTTTTATTAATGAGTGGATGGTTAAATGCTCAACGTCTCACAGCTGAGACCCTTTGACGTCATGGTTTGAAGAGCTGCATTAATGGAAATAATTAGAGCGATGTAATTCCACACAATCTAGTGGATGGTGAAGGTCCGTCCACAGGTGTTTTCTGGTCAGACAGAATTAACAAGCATTACATTTAAAATGTAATACTAACCAGTATCCAAGTGGGGATCAATAAAGCAAGAAGGAAATAAGCATTAGTATAAGGTTAAATATTTCGAAACATGTCAAGATTTTGTCATATTTTACATTAAAATCAAAACGAATAAAGAATTTTGGATTTTAAAAAAAAAGTAACAGGAAACCATTGCGACTACTGTGATCTGACATTTTGTTTAAGTCTCATTGCTGAATCTGAGCAAAGACTCTGTTCTGGAACTGCCTAATTTAACATTGTTTCTACTCTTTAAACTGACACAGTAGACCAAACAATAGATACCCCCAAATGTGTGCTTTCACAGCAGCTCTTCTTATCAGCACAGTGGGTAGACTGAAAGCATTGTTTCTTTTCTCTCTCTTTTTTTTCATCATACAATCTCTGTATCTTGTTCAATTTTTCACAGGATATTCAGATTTCCATTGAGGTTGTTTTGTACTGCAAAACAATATGATTTCATTTAAATGAATCAACTATATTCAATATATTTGATTCTGTTATACACTTAGCATACATTTTTGCATGAATTGTATAACATGGTGTCCGGATTTCTGAAATAAACCCTGGGACAATATTTCAAGATTTTCTTTTTTTTTTTTTTCAGTTTGTAATTTTCCATCATTGGTTCCCGAAGTATATACACTCACCTAAAAGATTATTAGGAACACCTGTTCAATTTCACATTAATGCAATTGTCTAATCAACCAATCACATGGCAGTTGCTTTAATGCATTTAGACAATCTCCTGAACTCCAAACTGAATGTCAGAATGGGAAAGGGATTTTCACTCACAACCATTTCTAGGGTTTACAAAGAATGGCGTGAAAAGGGAAAAAAACATCCAGTATGTGTCAGTCCTGTGGGCGAAAATGCCTTGTCGATTCTAGAGGTCAGAGGAGAATGGGCCGACTGATTCAAGCTGATAGAAGAGCAACTTTGACTGAAATAGCCACTCGTTGCAACCGAGGTATTCAGCAAAGCATTTGTGAAGCCACAACACGCACAACCTTGAGGCGGATGGACTAGACCCCACCAGGTACCACTCATCTCCACTACAAATAGGAAAAAGAGGCTACAATTTGCAAGAGCCCACCAAAATTGGACAGTTGAAGACTGAAAAAATGTTGCCTGGTCTGATGAGTCTCGATTTCTGTTGAGACATTCAGATGGTAGAGTCAGAATTTGGCGTAAACAGAATGAGAACATGGATCCATCATGCCTTGTTACCACTGTGTAGGCTGGTGGTGGTGGTGTAATGGTGTGGGGGATGTTTTATTGGCACAATTTAGGCCCCTTAGTGCTAATTGGGCATCGTTTAAATGCCACGGCCTACCTGAGCATTGTTTCTGACCACCAATCCTCTGATGGCTACTTCCAGCAGGATAATGCACCATGTCACAAAGCTCAAATCATTTCAAATTGGTTTCTTGAACATGACAATGAGTTCACTGTACTAAAATGACCCCCACAGTCACCAGATCTCAACCCAATAGAGCATCTTTGGGATGTGGTGGAACGGGAGCTTCGTGCCCTGCAAGATGCTATCCTATCAATATGGGCCAACATTTCTAAAGAGTGCTTTCAGCACCTTGTTGAATCAATGCCACGTAGAATTAAGGCAGTTCTGAAGGCGAAAGGGGGTCAAACACAGTATTAGTATGGTGTTCCTAATAATCCTTAAGGTGAGTGTATATATTTCCATTTATTTTTCCCATAGGGATTTTTCAAATAAATTCTATTGAGCTGCGTGATCATTCTGCAAAAGTTCTTGTTTAGTGTTTCATAGAGAAAAGAAAGTCATACACGTTTGGAATAACATGAGTGTGAAACTGAATAGGTGAAAGAATCTTCATTTTTTGGATAAGCTGATTGTATAATTCGGCATTCAACACTAAGGCTGCATATAATAATGCAAATCCCTTGTGAATGCGTGTGAGAGAGAAAGAGAACAGGAAGATGGCATTTTACTTCGGGTTAATAAATGTTTTCATGCTTCAATCCTTTGTGTCGAGAAAAACACGAGTGTCGCTCTCTGGCTTAACCTCACATCCATTATCCAGCGTTCAAGTGCCGATGGTACAGGCGAGTGCATGTCTGTGTTTTTGAGTACGTGCTTAAATACTATACAGAATGACTAAATATTTAGGTTTTTAATCGTAAAGAAGAATTTAAAACACATTAATGCATGACAGTTGATTTAAGTAAAAAAAAATAATTTTGTCTCCTGCTCATTGAAAGAGATATCTAAGTCCTCAAAATCGTAATGTGAGGCAATTAGTTGAAGTATGCTTGACAAAAAAAGAAAAAGATGACATCACCCACAAAGAGGTGGATGAGTTGATTGCAAGGCCACGATCTCATTGGTTGATGCTACGTGGGTGAAGTGCACTGGTTGGCTGGCTCAGTCAGAGAGGAAGCAGTAACTGAAGTGTCTGGCTATGTTCAAAATTACTGTTACTATTTCTGAAGAATAATACCCACAATGCAATGTGACTACTCAGAAATTCAGATGTGCATATGTTCCCTTTGCGTTCTATCTGTAGGTACTACAGTGCCACCATTCTGCAGATGTCAGGAGTACGTGATGACAAGTTGGCCATCTGGCTAGTCACTGTAACGGCGTTCACAAATTTCCTGTTTACTCTGCTGGGCGTTTGGTTGGTTGAAAGGGTGGGCAGACGTAGACTTACGTTGGGGAGCATCTTCGGTAAGATTTTGACATGCTTCAAGAAGCAGAATACTGTTTATTCCAGTGTATTCCAAACTTATTTTGGATTTAACTTTGGTGCTTTTTATATAGAGAGGGGAGGGGGGTACAATTCAAAAGTTGTTTTTTACAGTTCAAAGAGTTTTTTTTTTGTCTCTTATGCTCACCATGGTTGCATATATGTATTTAAAAAACAGCCATTACTCCAATTCTGAGTGCATTTCTAAAAATTGTACAATGTTGAAAACAGTTAGGATTATTTTTTAGAAAGTTCACCAAAACAGCATTTATTTAAAATAGAAAGATTTTGTCTTTTAGGTTTTGTCACTTACAATCCGTTTAATACATCATTGCTGAATAAAAGTATTGATTTCTTAAAAAAAAAAAAAAATCTTGAGCCTAAACTTGTGAACGGTTGTGTATTTGTATTTAAAATGTATTTATTCTATTTAATGACCTTCTAGCAAAATTTAATTTCTGAAAAAGTAAGAAAACATAATGGTATGCCAACACTATCTCACAACCAATTTGTAAGAATTAGTAGTGAGTACGAGGCGGCTAATTCGTACGAATTCCTACGAATTTGTACGAATTGTCTAAACGCCAATGATGGGTAGGTTTAGGAACGGGTTCAGGGATAGGTCATTCATATGAATACATTCGAATTGGGCAACTCGTAAAACATGTACGATTTAGCAAAAATCTTACGAATTCGTACAAGTGAGGTCGTATGAATTTGTACGAATTAGCCACCTCGTAAAATACATACGAATTGCTGTGCGATCAGGCTGTATATGAAAACATATTAACCAACTGGTTTGGCCAACATATATTGTAATTAAAATGTACAAAATGAAAACATTTTCAATTTAAAATTCTATTTTGAACATATTTATATATGATAATATATTTTTGATTCAATCTTTGTGTACAGGTACTGTTTTGAGTCTTTGTGTCCTGTCTGTTGGCTTCCTCCTGTCAGCCCAACATTCCCCTCCTGTTACACTACATCTGACGGACCCCGCGACACCCAACTCCAGCTGCACAACACATCTGTGAGTATGATTTAATGGCCATGTTTATCTTATAGAGGTTCTAGCTTGAGGCAATATGAATAATTCATAAGCACACTATAGGGTATAGTATAATCAGTTCCAATATAGTGACAGCTGTCTTGTTACTTGGTGTCTTGTCATTTAGCATGTAACAAAAGTGACTGAAGAGACAGTTCCCCAGAGCATGCATGAGTTAAGCTCCTACATGTACAAGACTTCCTTGGTCAGCCAATCGATGATCAGCATGGTTTTTCTCCAGAAGTTGGTTGACCAAGGAAGTTACGAAGACAATTCACTTAAAAGCTAAAATTCTGTTCCTTGTAACTTTGAAGAGTGATTACATGATGACATACATTTACTTTTTGGCAATTAACACGTTTGTTGGTGGGTACAACTTGAATTGAGAGATAACAGAGATGGATTATACCGTTCTAGGTGAGTCCTAGTTTAGCAATCACTGCTGTATAGTGATCTGGGGAATCCATACTGGAATAAAGTGAATATAAATCAATATCAAGCCTCCGCATGAAAATGAGTTGCACAAGGACAGCTCAGAGATAATAGGAACACTGTACAATTGGAACGGTGGAACTGTGGGACCTTATGAATACCATCAGTCTCCACATCATTGTCTCATCCCCATCTTTCGGTACCATTGACCCCAAGTAGATTGCAGTGGCAATGTCATCTTTGCGGCAGAAATTGAGACTCATCGCCCAATTCTTAGTATTACCTTCACGGTCCTCATCAAACCTCAAACCAAAAGTTGTAAAGGAGTGCTTTACCCAACTAGGCGGTCCATACCAAGATTCTCTCCCAATCCAGGGACCCACAATAAACACATCCTCAAAACAGTCTCCTCAAACAAATTTCAAGAGGGAAGAAGTCTTCTATAATCCAATGCAAACTCATTAAAGTCTAGTTTCATCGTCTGGAGTCATTTACAAATAAGAGTCTTGACAAGAAGTTTAAGGACAAGAAGTCCTTAAAGTTGACTCTAAAATGTCATGTGGGGAAAGAGCATATTTCAGGGTGCCCACACCTTGGTAACTTAAAATTCAAGGACCTTTCAAGGACTTTCCAGGTCCAATACCCTCAAATTTAAGGGACACATTTGTTTTGTCATAGTAGTTCCGTCCATGCGTGAACGTCAAGGCAACGTACAACACAAAGTACCCCAAGCTGGAAACACTTAATGTACCGCGTAAATGTGCCTAACTAACGATAATCAAGCAAAGCTAGTGTGCACAGGCCATGAAGTGTTGGCAAAATAACACATTAGCGGATCGGTATAATATAAAACGGATTTTTGGACTTCCATCACAAAATAAATTCAAGCACTTTCAAGGAACTTTCAAAAACTTTCCAGGGCCTTGAATATTTTTTTTTCCTGATTCACAAACTTTCAAGGATTTAAAGGACCCGTGGGAACCTCCTAATTTGTTTATATATATATTTGATTTGTATAAAAATAGATTTACACATATACAAAATACGTTTTTTCGAACTATCATAAATTATATGTAATACGTTTTTGGAGAGTCATGCCGCATAAAATTGCTCTAAAATCTGACGTGTTAATCGAGGGTCCGCTTTCCCAACAATGAAGTCATTTCCTGTTCCCTACGAAGGTTTCACACAACATGAATTTAATTTGGTTGCCAAGTTTTTTTAAAAAATATCACTAAAGCAGTTAGTAAAAGAATATATAATTTATTTTATAAGAAATAATATGATATATTATTCAATAATATGAATAATAAACCAAACTATTGAATGTTACCATTACAAGAATTCCATCCTTTTTTAAAGGTATTTTCTCCATTAAAAAAAAAAAAAAATCTAAATGAAAAGTACAGCATAGAAGAGGTATATTCATCTCATTACATGTTTAAGTTGTATTTTTGAATAAATTAATAGATCCAAACTAAAACAAAATGTGTTATTTCATTCACCCACCATCAATTTATAAATCAAGTCCCAGTCTACATTTTTGTCTCGTTTTATTGTTCACATTCCCGAAGTAATGTCGTTTTCATTGTATAGTTTTCTTCTGTAAAGTTTATATCGAGTCCAGTGGCGATCAATTGCTATACTTATGTCTCTATCAGCATGCTTATTGTGAAATTATACCATATATAATGGGTTTCTCATGCTTTAGTCAACAAACAGCTCTTCGGCTTTCAACCTGAGTGAAAATCAATTTTACAGTATGTTTGGCTCCGTTGGTGTGTGTACTTTGCGGTAATAACTGCATGTGTTTGGATATCTAGGTTGCTCGCTGTTCCTTAATGTCACAGTAATAGAGTCTGAAGTGTGTGTAACCTCATATAACAGTCGTCTGAGAGAGCGTGGCCTCTGCTCTCCATCCTAATTTACTCTTACGCCATCCTCCAGTTCAACATACACGCATTGTCAAAACAAAGCATGTTTATTTTCTGAGAATGGATGCGAAATGACTGCGCTATCATCAGCAGCAAACCCAATTTGTGTTAAGACTTAAATATTCCATATTGGATTACAGTATTTAATGGGCACACCGTAACTGCCATGCAATTTCCATTGACCAAGACAGCTGGAGCTATTTACTTAATAAGTGTTGATATGTAAATGTGGTGGTCTTATGTTAATGAGATTTGTGGTTGTGATCTTTTATCAAGAAATATTTCTGAGTGAGCCATTTATGCAGCTTAAAATCCGAATAAAACGAAAGTTGTGAGTGACTTGTGGCGTGGTTTTTAGTGTGAAACGGCTTACCAAACAAGGGGAAAATGCTTCGACTTGATTTAATCCTTCAGTTGTTAACAATATTGAGTGATGAGTCATGTATAATAAGAAATTCTGGCAATGTGTTTTAAGAAAGTAAATGGGGTGCGTTCTGACTTCAGATAAGTAGATTTCAAGGTCAGTATTTTGACACCGCACATTGACAGGCTTGGCTTGGGTTTTAGGTTTTAAAGTAATTTGTCTTGCTCTCAAATTACCTTTCCAGGTCATGCGAGCCCTGTATGTTGGACCCTAGCTGCGGTTACTGTTATCAGGAAAACAGCACTGCTGTGTTCGCCGCCTCCTGTGTGCCCGTCAATCCGACCTCCACCGAGAGAGCAGCGTGGGGCAAGTGAGTCACTAATAAAGCCGAGGATTTGTGTGTACTTGTGTTGTTCTGTGACTATTTGGGAACATGTTGTGATTTTATCCATTCTAAAGCACATTACTAAGTTACCTGATAAAACTTGCCAAATGTCAAATGTGTAATAAAATTGGTTGTCATGCCTTTCCAGTTTCCCTACTTGGGGCTTTGTGGTTTTTATATAACATTTAGTCTTTTTAACAGGTTTTAGATTGTTCATTGTCACATTATGGCATGTTACATGTGGTTGAACCGGTTAGTAATTAATTCAACTATTAATTAATATGCCCTATATAGTTCATTATGTGTCTGTTTTAAATCTAACAGGTGCTCCAACTCCACACATATGCCAGATAGTGGTATATGGGCTTATAACTTTTGCCCAACCTCTTATTCGTGGGTTGTGCTCCTGGGACTTGTGCTATATCTCGCATTTTTTGCCCCAGGTAAGATGATCAAAACTGTCTTTTAAAGGGATACTCCACCGTTTTTTCATATTAAACTATGTTATTCCCTTAACTAAGAGGAGTTGATGCATATCTCTGTTGTCAATCGATCTGGCGCGAGACACTTTGATCGCACTTAACTAGCCTAGTTCATTCAATATGGGCCAAGCAGAGAAGCGACCAAACACCTCCACGTTTTCCCTATTTAAAAACAGTTACACGAGTAGTGTAACTCAACCTAGGACGGTGACACAAAATAAAACGTTGCGCTTTTCTAAGCATGTAAAGTGGATAACTATATTATATGGCGGAATATCAAAGCAAGTGCTTGGGAGCACTTTGACTCTGCGCATATTTATCTATGGACTCGTTTTCTCGAGTGATGATATTACTGCACCAAGTCGAAGTGCTCCCAAGCACTTGCTATTAGGGCTGGGTAATAAATATCGATTTCTCGATATTAATCGATTCTCATTTTTACAAACCGATATCGATTCTTAAATCTCAAGAATCAATTAGTCATCTTGTTTCGTTTGAATGAATGGATCATTGTATCGCGGCTGCGCGCATCCAACAAATCGCAATAATCTTTGTCCTTTGTTACTATTGATATGAAACAAAGTCTCAATTTTCAAATTACGTCCATTTTCTTTAGAAATTCAAAAACAAAAATAGCGTTTTGGCGCTGTGGCGTGAGATCGCTCTGGCGCAGCTCCAGAGAAGCAGCAGCGCTGATCTCTCTTCCGAGTTAATAATACCAGTTACAGCGCGAAATAAACATGAATGAGCATCTGAAAGTGTGTTAAAAGATAGAGTACAACTTATCGAAATCCCTATCATGTCACATTGATTCGCTCAAACTGCGTTTCATCCGTGGAAAGACGTCAGTTAAACAGCTTGTAATCAATGTCATGTATCGTCATATTTACCTCAGAAAACCCACATAAACTCGTTAGTCCACACTCGTTAGTGTTCTTCAATATTTAATGCATATTTGAATAAATCTGGCAAGTTTTTATGACAGCCACCATTTAAATGTTTATATTTCATATAATCTTATTATTATAAAAATAAATAAAAGTGTAATTTAAGTGTTTGTATAGCTATAAAACAGTTAATTATTACCTTCATATTAGGCTAATGAAGCCTTGTAAGCTACAACTAGACTCCCATAGTTTACAGCATTAGTTAAGAGATTTGATTTCCTTGAGAAAAATTGCCATTTATTGTAACTGATATCCAAAATAATCGATATCGAATCGAATCGAATTCGAAATCGAATCGAATTGCAAGCTTGTGAATCGAAATCGAATCGAATTGTGAAATTTGTCTCAATACCCAGCCCTACTTGCTATGGTATTCCGCCATATAATATAGTTATCCATTTTACACGCTTAGAAAAGCGCAACGTTTTATTTTGTGTCAACATCCTAGGTCGAGTTAGACTGTTTTTAAATAGGGAAAACGTGGAGGTGTTTGGTCGCTTCTCTGCTTGGCCCATATTGAATAAACTGGGCTAGTTAAAGGGATAGTTCACTTTGAAATTAATTTTGGTATGTTTTAGCTTACCTCAAGGGCATCCAAGATGTAGTTGTCTTTGTTTCCACAGTATTTTCAATTTTGACATTTTTCAGTCAAACCGTTTTTGTCTATCAGTCATACACTGGAGGCTAAGGGGGTCCACCAAAAAGCATGCACAGAGAAGTCCAAATTAAACATGATTTTATGACTCGTAAATTTAAGTACACATTGAAGGCCTAAGACACGAAACGAGCGGTTTGTGTGAGAAAACGAACAGTATTTATATCGTTTTTACCTCTTGTAATCATAGCCATGACAAAATGATCTGACGGCACGGGCGCTTCGGTCTGCGCATGCGGCGGAAGTGATCGCTTGCGCGCCTACGTCACTCTTTGTTTATACAGAGATTTCGGAAGTTTTACCTTTCACTAAACATATTTAGATATACGGGAAACCGCAATGGAAGACGATTTCGGTATATCTAAATATGTTCAGTAAAAGGTAAAACTCCGAAATCTCCGTGTAAATATTGAGTGACGTCACACGCAAGCCATCACTTCCGGCGTAACATTGAACTGATTCAGTTCGGTTCAGTTGGACATTGAACAACTGATTCAGATCACTTGGATTACACGAGGTAAAAACGATATAAATACTGTTCGTTTTCTCACAAAAACCGCTCGTTTCGTGTCTTAGGCCATCAGTGTGTACTTACATTTTGCGAGTCATTAAATCATGTTTAATTTTGACTTCTCTGTGCATGCTTTTTGGTGGACCCCCTTTCCCCTTTGGAGAGAGAGTGTTGGGAAAGGACCACGAGTCACGATTCAAACTCGGGTCAATCGAAGCACGACCGCACTACATGTCGGAGGTTCCGACTTTTATTTTTTATAATAAGGCATACAACGAGTGGGAAGTCCAAATAAGCGAACAACAGAACGTTAAAAGAAAAATTCATAAGAAATGAGCAATTTAATCCAAGTCTTCTAAAGAGACACGATCGCTTTATATGATGAACATATTTAATGTAGGCTTTAATTCACATACATTTATCAGCAAATGTACATAGAGCACTAAAATTTGGTCAACGGAAGCTCAAGCTGCTTCTCAAACATTAGACCGCACCCTAGAAAGGCTGCGTATCTCGGTTGCCAGCCCGTTCTCATCCCAAGGCGTCACATATTGACACTTTTGACATTTCGTCTGCATCCAACACACATGACACCCTTTAGCGTCAATATGAGACGAAGATATATCTGGGCCAGAATGCGCCTCCTAGTGGTCTAACCCTAACCCTACCCCAGACCTAAACCCACCCATAACCGAACAAAGCTCTGTGCGTGTTATATTGACACTAAAGGGTGCCATGTGCGTTGTATTTAGACGGAATTTCAAAAGTGTTATTATATGACGCCCTAGGATGAGAACACGTTGCAAGCACCACTGAAGGTCATCTCAATTTGAAGAATCCTTGGAGAGCAGCCTTTGTTTTGTATCCTTCATTCAGCTCATTTTGAAGGATGCATCAAGTGTATCCTTCATGTACTTCAATCACCCATAATCCTTTGCACACATTCGAATTCACAGAAAAGACATAATTTGCTTTGGGGGATTTACACCTGTAATATGTTCCTTGTGACATTGCATTAAGGTCATTTTCAAAAGTGTTCCCTCTTGACAGGAATGGGGCCGATGCCATGGACAGTTAATTCTGAAATCTACCCTCTTTGGGCCAGAAGCACGGGCAATGCTTGTTCGGCTGGGGTGAACTGGACCTTCAACGTGCTGGTGTCTCTAACGTTCCTCCATATGGCCCAGTATCTGACTTACTACGGTAATGCTCTAAACAGTTCAGTGACAGCAGTCATGAACTTGACCTTTTTGTCAGCATCATCCCAGTATTTGATCTCTCAACATCAAGAGTATACTATGCATAAAGGCATTGTAGAACTAATTATGTTCATGACTCACTATTACTTTCATCTGGAAGTCTCTGTGACATTTTAAGCACACTTTCCTGGACTTATTATGGCAATTCCTCAATTTTTATTACTGAAAATGAAAAAAGAAAGGCTGTCTTGGGAACAGGATATCAGTTAAATAAATGCTTTGCATCTGAAACTTTTCTTTTTTGGCTGACATCTTCTAGGCCATTAGATGATTATTGTGTATATTTATTTATTTTTTTGTAAAGGGGAAAAAAATGTCAAAAATACATAAAGAAAATATCAACACTAAAAACTACCGGTACACAAATGCATTGGAACTGCAATGAAGAAGCTTGTCTCAGGCACAGAATAAAAAATAATAAAGTAATAGGACTTTTTATCTGACAATTCTGACTTTTTTTTCACAGAATTGCATGTTTATATCTAGCAATTCTGACTTTATAACCCGCAATTGTGTTTATTTCTCGCAATTCTGAGAAATAAAGTCAGAACTACTCGCAATTGTGAGAAAAAAAGTCGCAATTATCTTTTTAAATGTTTTATTTTGTGGTGTAAAGTTTAAACAAGTTCACTTTTAAAAACACGTTTGCTGATAATTTACTCACTCCCATGTCATCCAAGATGTCCACGTCTTTCTTTCTTCAGTCGAAAAGAAATTAATGGTTCAAGGTCCAAATGAAAGTTTCAGTGCAGTTTCAAATGGCTTAAACGACACCAGAAGATGAATAAGGGTCTTATCTAGGACCCTTCGAGTCATGAACACGACAAGGTGAGTATTTGTGCTTATAAAACTTAAACTTTTTAATTTATTTTTTAAATGACCGATCGTTTCTCTAGATAAGACCCTTATTCATCGTCATTTAAAGCCCTTTGAAGCTGCACTGAAACTCTCATTTGGACCTCGAACCGTTTGGTTCCCAATGAAATTCATTATATAGAGAAAATCCTGGAATGTTTTCATCAAAAACCTTAATTTCTTTTCAACTGAAGAAAGAAAGACATGGACATCTTGGATGACATGGGGGTGAGTAAATTATCAGCCAAAGTATTATTATTTTTTTTTTTAAGTGAACTACTCCTTTAATTCTTACAGGGCCAGCAAAAAGAAAATAAAATGAAAATAAAAGAAAAAGGAAATAAAATAGTTTCTTTCTATACTATGTCTGTATAATTTTGGTATGTTTAGCCATTATAAAAATGATAATTTATGAAATAATATCTCTCTTTTGTTTTCCAGGTGTATTCTTCCTTTATTCCAGTTTGGCTCTATCTGGTTTCTTTTTCATTTATGGCTGCCTCCCTGAGACTAAGGGACGGCGACTAGAAGAGATCGAGTCCTTGTTTTATAACCGGCTCTGCTCGTGTGGCATTTCGGATTCTGATGAGGATCGGCAGGTTGAATACATCCGGGTAAAAGGGTCAAACTACCACCTATCGGACAACGACGCATCAGATGTCGAATAACGCGTGCGAAACCTCTGGTTTGGCATCGATTGAGCATCGCTCAACCCTGACGTCAGGTCCGCCCACTGTATTGGTCAGGTTGAGCCTCCCTCATCCAGACGTTCACCGCGATGGCAAGAACAGGGTTGTAGAGCACACACAAACAAACACGCAGTGCCATGTCAGCTTTTATAATATTGTCAGTATGTCTCTGGCTCGTTCCTTCACTGTCAGATGAATATCCTCTGCTTATTTATGTAAAATGAGATGTTAGCTGTAAATGCAGTAATATATATGCAGAAGAACATGTTTGTTTTTTTCTTAATGTCATGAACGCAAAAGCAAATTTTATACATATATAAATTGGAATGAAAAAAACTGATATTTGCTGCAATTTCCGTTCACCAACACTGACAACTTCTAGTTCTGAGGACCCTAAAAATGTCAAAAGGGTTTATTGTATTTTAGAAAAATAGTAAATGTTATCAATGGAAGTGTTGGAATTAAGTAGAGATCACAAATATTCAACAATATTTTGCATATATGGGCATTCAGAAGTCTGTCTGAATTCTATAAATGAATCCAAACCAGTTTCCTAAAATAATGTGACTCCCTGAATATCAACAAAATATATATATTGCAGTGAATAAACATCATTTGCCAACGTGATAATATGCGTATTATCCGTATTTCACCGTCTGGATTTTAAAGTGCCATAGATTATTTTGTCATTTGAACCATCATGTTTGTAGGATTAGAGATCATTGACACAAAAAAAGTCAGATGTAGCTTTCTGCAGTTTTCCTGTGATAGTGTATTGTGGCCTTATAAAATATTTCACAATTTGTATGTCAGTTTGTTTCATTTGCTTTTAAATGTTTACATTTAAGATGTTATGATATTTTTATTATCATTTTAATTTGTCTTCCTTATAGCCTAGTGTACAAAATCCTCACAGTTGGTCCTCACCGTTTCGACAAGTACTGTAATATCCATTGTTCTTTTGTGCTTCTTCGTAAGTACAGACAAATACACAGCAAAGTGTGTCAAACCGGCCTGAAAATCTCTATGTTGTGATTGTAGCTTTATCAAAACCAAGTTGATGGCTCCCATAAAAGCAACCAATAACGTGCTCAAGTTCCTGTTTAAAGGTTTCACTGTGCTCAGTGTAACATAATTGTGCACATCAGGCCTCGTGTAATGTGTTTTGTTCAGATACTGTACATGATCATGTGTAATTTGACATTTTCCATTGGATAAAACTTAATTTGGTTGAGAGAAGCACAAATTAAATTGGCACAATGTTTGACATTATATCGATTTAGATTTTACAGGAAAAGTTCACCCACAAATGCACCCTCAATCATCAATTACTCACCCTCTCATCTTTTCTAAACTTGTTTTATTCTGTGGAACATTAAAGGACACATTCTTAAGAACGTCAAAGCTGCTCGTTTCCATACACTGAAAGCATATAGCGAACGAGGGAAGCCAGTCATTTTTACATTTTTGGGTGTACTATTCCAAACCAATAAAAACTCTAACATTAAACATATTGCTTCTATTTGAGTCCAAGAGAGATTATAAACGTTTTAGTCTATATGTATGATGTAATTTAGAGATTTATTGAGCAGTTTCATGTGTACCAGATGTATTTGAATTTTAGATTGTACTTGGGAGGTTCTTTATCTGTGTGTTACTAATGAACACATCTGTTTTAAGTGTATGGATGTATATTTTTTGTTTGTTTTTTGTTTTTGTATGTGAAAAACAAAATGCAGCGTTTCTAAAATGAATGGAAACTAGTCAGGACAAATGTTGTGTTGTACAGTATTTGATTACTGTTGCTGTAAACTGTTGCTAGATTTATATTATATAAAACTAAATATATGAACTTTGAAAACTTGAATATGTACTTGGAGATTGTAATAAAGACAATAACATACAACATTGGGTTTTTTTAATCCTACATGCATCAAATTTGAACAATCGATTTTTCAAAATGTACTTTTGCTTACTGTCTAATCCTTTTCGTCCTTTAACGTCAGCAGAATCTCAGCAGCTTCTTGTTTCTTTGTCTCTTCAGAGGCCCAGTTGACACCTTTCTCTGTCGTGAATTTTTTCTTCTTTTTCACGGGTTCTCCTGCATGCTTGACGTCCTTGACAGGGTTTCGCGTCACACTTTCCAAACGAGGGCTGTCACACCTCGCTAATTTCACTTTAGCTCTCCACATCTCATCTATTTTCTGTTCTGGAGTAAACAAAAGATTTTTTTAAAAAAATGTACAATTCAACCTTCATAATCATAATATAATATGGGAAATTGTTAATTCTGGGTAAATTACATTCTAATGTCCTAATATACAATATTGTTGGGGTCAGTTTCTAATGGCTGCATTCATTGATTAAAAAATAAATAAAACTAATGTTTTATTCTTAATGTTATTATTTTAATATTTCTAGTATACTTTACAATTCCTGTGATCAAAAGTTGAATTTTCACATGATCCTCCAGAAATCATTGAGTCAATCAAAAGAACGACATTTATTTTTACATCATCTCGTTTCAGCCCGACGCACTTATCATTTTCACATCCTGCGCCACGTTGTTTAAATGGCAAATGCATTTGTGCACATTTATGCCTGAAAACGGTCTGAAAACGAGGTGTGTGTTCAGGTGCATTGTTGGCGCATTACATTTTGAGGCAACATATTATGTACATAAAGATATGGTGGAATCCTGCTTGTCTCGTAAATGGTCTGCTCGCACGCTTTAGCCTCGCTCGCGATCAGGCTCAAGTGCAACTGACTTTTAAAGGGAATGGGAAATTACACTCTGAAATTACTTACTGATTACTATATTGCAAGTTACACACACATATCTCATAAAGAGAATAGGGAGATCGCCTAGGGACAACCCCAAAAGTGGATTCCTGGATTAACGCATCATGCTGCATTAGTCATATATTCACATTTTTTTTTATAGGCCTATAGCGCTGTTGTCTTGTTTGTATTGAAAAGAACAGCGTGGACATTTTGGAAAAGACAAAGATGTGAAAATAATGACAGAAAATGAATTTAAAATCATCCATGTTTATCAGAAACATCTGGAAAATTTCACACACAAAAAAGAGGTTTCACAGTGGATTAGTTATACCTGAGGCTTTGCGGAGAGGTTGTTTCAAATTTGGCGTTACATCTCTCTCTGTGCTCTTCCGACTACGAAGTTTGCGGAGGTGAAAGTCTGCTTGTGATTCCGGATGTCTCTGTACCGGCTGGTTTGCTGCTGATGCCTCTGAGGGACTATTTCCTGTTCTTTTGTGGCCATCTTCCGGAGAACTAAGTGTAGTTCGATTGAGTATCTGATTAAAATGAAAAGACTGCTGCCTTGTGATAGGGACATTGGTTTTCTGATCAGCGGTGGGGAAAGGCACAGATTTGCTGGGATGAATAGGTGAACACTGAACTGAGACATCACAGTTAGATAAAGCTTCTGTTTGTGTCCCCTTATTCAAGGTTATTGGAGGATCCTGCAGATGAGAAGGAACAAACTGATTCTCATTGCGTTTTTGCCCAGTTTACTTATCTCATGTCTGAAACTCTGGATTTGACCTCGTTTGAAAACTTACCTTGCACTTTGACAACTTGCAATCACAACAGTGCTTTGCTATGAGAGAATCTTCAGCGTGAGGCAAGTCCATTTCTTCTTCCTGTTCATCGAGAGAGGATTTCATGGTCATAAAGAAATAACTGAATGTTTGAATTTCACAGTTTCACCACAGTTTTTGTCTTACGTCATCTAGGCCGAGATAAACTCCTCTTGGAGATTCCCAACCGTGTACAAAGACATTTCTACCATCAGCACCTGCTGAAACACAATAAAACATAATGTTCTGAGCACTAAAACAATATATTTATCTATTCCAATAACCAGAAAACTTACATGTGTTGCTGTCAGTACATCCAAATTTCTGAAAGGAAAAAACACTCAACTTACTGTATGTTAATGTTGCTTTCAACCACAAGAAGGCAGTATTTACCTACAATTAATAGGACTATTGCAATTGTCATAGTTTGTCACCCTTTCCCTTACTTTATTTCTAAAAAAAAAAAAAAAATCAAATCTTTGCATTAATGAAGTAACCATATGCTAAAAATTATGTAAACAGAAAATATCCATAAACACATTTTTTTTTACATAATGTTTTCTTTTCGAAACTTCTAAAAGCTTGTTTTTCCATACCTGTGTTGAAAACTCCTCATTGTACATGTTTTGTGATCTGTCACTTGAATTCATTGTGGAAAGCACTAAGAAACATGAATAATACGAATAATTGCTTTATATATGCAATATATGGTTTATACATGGTTTTCAGTGTTAGAAGAGTTAAGGTTAACGTTTCATTACTTCATAAAATATATCAGATGAGCAATTTGTACTTAGACACTGGTGATCATATAATATAGACATTTTTTATCTTTGCACTGTTTGGGTAAACACTGAGAGTACTATTGTAATTTTTATGGCCTCTGAATAAATAAATAAATAAATAAATAAATAAATAAATAAATAAATAAATAAATATAAACATACATATTTACAAGCCAAAAATATTTCTATATTATATTATCACCAGTGTCTAAGTACAAATTGCTCATCTGATCTGTTTTATGAAGCAACCGTAATACTATGAAACATTAACCGTAACTGTTCTATATATATCCTGAAAGTTTTTATTCTAGTATCTCCCTGTAACTACATATGTTAGGCGCTATATTACCTTCACAATCTCTATTCTTGAAATCAATGAACAGTGGTTCCTCCGGTTGGTCACTGCTCAGTGGATAAAAACCTGAGGTCACTGAATCCTCGTCCATCTCTGGGCTGTAACAGATGATAATCAATGTTATATGCACTTTCTCATACCTATTCTCTTACTGGCATACTGTGTTGGAAATATAGTAATTTAGTACCCACTTTGGTAATGTGCTCTCAAACTGAATTCCAACCACTGGACTGTTGTGAGGCAGATCTTGCTCAGGAGCTTCATTGGATGCAATGGTCCATGGATTATTCAGCTTGGTTGGTTGAGAGAATGACACATACTGAAAAGAGACATACACTGTAAAAATGTGTGTTACTATGTTGTGTTGCCCAAACTGTTGACTTGATATCAATACACCTGAGGAGTTTTATTGTCAGGATTTTCCCTGGATGGCAGGAAGGAGGGTACATGTGGTGTGGGTTTGGGTTGGAATGGATCTGTGGAGCCATTTAAAGTTGAGGATGGTTGATTTTCTGAGCCACTGGCATCGGACAGGTTAGATTCAAACACAGGAGACAGCTATGAGAGAAAAGGCATATATAATCGGTGATAATTAACTTTAATATTGATAATGACAAGTTAATAATAAGGTAATGTCTGATTAATGTAATATAGGTGAATTATTTTGTGGTAGTGACCACTTTAGTCGTCCTTACCGGATTGACCTTGAATTTTTCAGCAAGGCGATGTTTTCTGATTTTGAAAACAGGTGTGTCTACACTGTTGAAACAAATACCCAATAGCTGTAGATTCAATTATTTGGAAATATACTGTAGATTGAATAACAAACCTATTGAAAATGTACCTGTGCTGTGTCTGACTGGTGACTAGGTCCAATTTTGAAGGAGTGCAAGGGCTCATTGGTAACTCTAAGGGTTCGTTCAAAGCTTTTTTGGTTCTGTTTCCAACAATCGACAGGTTTGTTTTTGGTTTGGCTGCAAAACAAAACATATCATACATGTCTTTATTAAAGGGATATAAAAAGATTGCTATGTGTCCATTTGTAAGTGCAATATGACTGTACCAGTTTTTTCTTTCTTTGACGCAATCTGGTTGACTATAAATAATGTCAGCAGATCCATATTGCCAGAGTTTTGTCCTTTGGTTGAGTCCATAATATTTGACTTTATCTTCATCCTTTGCCTTTGAAAAAACGCCTTGAGGTGGAACAGAGATATAAAAAATAAAAAACACTGCACAACAAGCTCTGGTAAAAAGATAGAGAGCTGGTTAGCTGGTCTAGCTTGTTTAAGATGGATGTAGCTGGTCTAAGCTGTCTCTCAGCCTGGCCAAGCTAGTGTTAAGCTGGTTTTACTTGGTTGGTCAGCTAGTCTCCAAGCCTGACCATTTAAAGAATTGGTAAAAACAATCCTGCTAAACCAGCTAAGACCAAGCTGGAAGGCCACATAAGACTAGCCAACCAGTTTAGGCTGGTTTTAGCTGTCTTTTTTACCCTATATAGGCTTTCTTGTAGCTCAAACAGAAGAGCATTGGCCTTTGCAATGCCAAGGCCATTCAATTCCCAGGGAAAGCAAGCACTGATAAGAATGTAAATGTGTACCTTAAAATGCAATGTAAGTCACTTTGGATAAAAGCCTCTGCCAAATGTAAATGTAAATATATAAAAAAGAAAGAAAAAAAAAAGATAGTCCCTTCCCGGTTCCACAGACGGGGTTAAGATTAAGCCAGGAATGGCCTTAGTTTTTTTAAAGTGTCTTAGAAAAAAAGAAAACATTACTTTAGACAAAACAATGGCACTGACCTATTTTGAGATATGTCGATGCAAATTGCTTTCAGCTCAAACATACATTTTAGTCTGGGATTAGGCCTTGTCTGTGAAACCGGCCATGTGGTAGGCTACATTTTTGTAGGCTTATTTACAAAGAAGTTATAGGTCTAGTTCAAATGTAGGCTACTACTATAAATGTTGAGTCACTTTGAATTTGAAAACGTCTTAAATATGGGGTTTTAAATAGATTACATGTACTTACTCTCTGTTTTATGGTGTCTTCTTTGTTTTTCATAAACCTGCTCCTGTTTAGTTAAGATTAGATGTCATTAGATGAAATGTAAACTTAATACCTATTAAAATAGTAATTTTGATAACATATTTGCTTTGAAATCTTAGAAATTTTAAGTTAAGAATGATATAAAATTATTATTAGTGAGTTAATTAAGTCATTAGCACTGACCGGGTTCCTCCGACCCAGTTCATGTTGCTGTCAGTCTGAGGTGGTTATAAATTATCCCTCTGTCTCTCGTTCTCAACAGATAAGTAAACACTGATAGCGTAAAATGTAAACTTTTCAGTTTATGTTGGTATTAGGCATATGTCAAGAACATTTAACCGATAAAATATAATCTTAATTTGAACACGAAGCGATAACGGCGTGATTGTACTCACTCCATGCGCGCGAGAACTTCACTAACACTACTGAATGTGAGTGACGTCAACGGTCATATCAGCGATCTTCTTTTTTAAGTCTGTCTTTAGAAATTGATTGTATTATTGAATTTATACAATGCAATTGGACTAGACAACAATGCAGCAATTGGTTCGTGTGTGGCGTGAAAATGTCGTTTGAGATTGAGATCTTGTTTGTATTAATAATATTATTGAGATACCTCTCTAAAAATAAACTGACAATATATTGTCATACAATACTGCAGAAATCACACAACACTGCAGTGTTGCATGACAATAATAAAAAATGGATGGCAATAATAAAAACATTCACTATCATTCTTTTGAAAATAAAAACTTTAGATAGCTGTAAAGACCACCACACTAGGATTAACAAAAATAACCTCATAAATAAATTCATAATTTCCAATGTTTACTTGTATTACAAATGGCTAACTTTTTAGCAAATAATTGTTTGGGCAGATCAGACCATTCCGTTATATTGACATATGTAAAGTGCGGCAGCCAATCAGCGTAGAGTGGGGGCGTGACCAATGAGGAAAACCCAAATGACGGAAGCATCTACCTAGCGGTGCTGTTCTAGCCTTACGGTGCTATGAATTGTATGTATATATTCTCTATTTAAGGCATTGAATGACCATATGGATGTAACTCGGAACAAATAGAAGATTGCAAACTACTTGTTTTTGTAAAAGCAGGATAAAAAAAATGAGCAACATCCTTCATGCGGCATCAAAAGTGAAATGGAATCAGAGCACTGCGGCGAAAAGAGCGGTGTTCCTGGCGGCCGCCGTATACGGGGCGAAAACGCTTTACCCCATCATCTGCAAACAAATAAATCAACGCAAAACAACCAGGAACAGCACATCTGCACCAGGACACGAGAATGGATTGATTCCTATTCATAAAGCTACACCAGAGACCGTGGCTGGTCTTAGTAAATCACCCGGTGTCAATGCGGAATTCTTCAAGCAGGTTCTTGATCTGGTTAAAATCGTATTCCCGAGGTTTGTAACCAAAGAACTGGGTTTACTATGTTTACATTCAGTAGCTCTCGTTTCACGGACGTTTCTGTCTATTTACGTGGCAGGTTTGGATGGTAAAATAGTGAAAACGATCGTAGAGAAGGAGCCGCGGAGCTTCATGATCAAACTGATGAAATGGCTTCTGATCGCCATCCCTGCCACATTCGTCAACAGCGCGATCCGTTATCTGGAGTGCAAGCTCGCGCTCGCGTTTCGCACGCGCTTGGTAGATCATGCATATAAAACATATTTCACCAATCAAACCTATTATAAGGTCAGTAACATGGACGGGAGGCTGGCGAACCCGGACCAGTCTTTGACCGAGGATGTGATGATGTTCTCGCAGTCTATTGCGCATTTGTATTCAAATCTCACCAAACCCATTCTGGACGTGATACTGACTTCATATACGTTGATACAGACCGCGCGATCTCGGGGTGCGAACGCAACCGGACCGACTCTGTTAGCGGGTCTGGTGGTGTTCGTCACGGCCAAGATTCTGCGCGCCTGCTCGCCAAAGTTTGGTAAACTGGTGGCGGAAGAGGCGCACAGGAAGGGATACCTAAGATATGTGCACTCCAGAATCATAGCCAATGCAGAGGAGATCGCCTTCTATAGGGGACACACGGTGAGGAAATACATAATGCAGATTAAAATAGCATATAATTGCTCTTTTGGAAGGGCATGGGCGAGGAAATGCATCAGTCATATAGAGTGCAAATGTGATTATTGGGTACTTTTATAGGGGTCGTGTCAGAAACGATGCACACATGTGCCTGAATAACATAAGGACGAGGAAATGCATCATTAAAACGTGTAGTTTACTTTTTAGGTTTTACTTCAGCTTTTTATGTAATGAGTTTTATTTCATAATTGTGATTTACTAAAACAGTGCTGGAAATGAGCTTATCCAGAGCTGGATTCATTTTTCAATTCCAATTCATTTTCTGAGTTTAAATTCAAAATTGAAGTACTCGGATTAGGAACTCTGTAAAAAGTGATAAATTTAAAACTTAAAAAAAGTACAAAAAAATCCATTTCCTTAAAATTAAGTAAATAAACATAATTGAGTTATGTGAACTTGACAAGTCCACACAACTTAATTTTTTCAATTACGCATGAGGTTTATTTACTTAATTTTAAGGCAAGGGGTTTCCTCCCTTATTAAACTCGAGTCAACTGATCACTTTTTTAAGTGAAGTAGAATTAAAGTTAATTGACAAATTCAGAAATTCATATAACTGTGTATATATGTTTTAACTATAAAAATGTTCGCCAAGACACATTTAGAATGTTAGTTTGACAAAACCTTTTTTGAAAGTCTCGATTTTGGGTGTTATCATGTGGCAGGTGGAGATGAGGCAGCTGCAGAAGTGTTACAGTGCCCTGGCGGAGCAGATGAACCTCATCCTATCGAAACGTCTGTGGTACATCATGATCGAGCAGTTCCTCATGAAGTACGTCTGGAGTGGATGTGGTCTGGTTATGGTCGCAGTGCCCATCATCACTGCAACTGGCTTTGCTGACAACGGTAAAGCAGAAGTCCAGTTTATGCAGTTCTACAGTATATAGTTTGTAATTTCATTGCAATTACAGTGATATATACTGTATATGTTTGTATTTATTACATTATTGTAGCACAACGTATTTGCTTAAAGATGTAATTTGTCTCCTGAAGAGCTGGCGGATGGTCAGACGCAAGTGTTGGTGAGTGAAAGAACAGAGGCCTTCACAACAGCACGCAATCTACTGGCCTCAGGGGCCGATGCCATTGAAAGGATCATGTCTTCTTATAAAGAGGTAAAAAATGAAACATGTTCCTTTTGTTCACCTGTATTTATTTTTACAGTCATTAATCATTATGAACAATATGGATGTTCTTGATATGAACACAAATGAGCATTTCGAGTCATATTTCATCACAATATCAAAAGAAAGAAATAGGAAATTATTATTTTACACAGACACACACACACTTTTTATTTTATTCATTATTTTATTGTATAGCAGTGCAACAACAAGGGCCTCTAGGAACTGTAACCACAAAGAATGTGATGTCACGCAGCAGTGAAAGCTGGGAATCTTTGCTATAGGCTAGTGATCTGTGTTGGTATCAGCTGCCACTCTGTTGACTAAGCCTGCCGGGCAACTTAATCCACCATCTGTTGAACAGAGAGCATCAGTCAGACCCACTTCACAGATGCTGCGTGTGTCCATTACAACGAAAGACACTATAAAGCACAGCATCATGCTATTTCAGACCTTTTATCCAAGTTGTGTTCTAATAATAAGTGTTAGCTAGCCCTACATGTGTTTTGATAATTACCATTTTGACAAGAAATGTAAATGTGAGCAGTGCTTGCTAGTGTAAAACCTGTCATATTGTCAGGTCGTACCTACAGTATGTGGTTTTTATCATATTGCTATGCTTTAGGCCATTGCTATACTATTGCTGTCACGGTTGGTGGCTGTAATGAGTGCGCTAAGAAAAGGAGTACAATCCTTTTCGAGTACAAGTGATCGGAATCGACCAATTTTCACGTGATCGGCCATGATCGGCGACCGGCTGGTCAGTCTGACAAATGGCGATTTTATGCCGGTCAAACGCACTCTGGCGCCACCTGATTAGCATCGAGCATTAGTATCACTCGTGCACAGACTGCACACGGAACGCACATGTAGGTCACACCACGAGCCGGAGCGGAGCGGAGTGTGAGCGTCAAGCAGGAGCGGCGCGTGAGCAGCACTGAAGCGCGGTTTTGGCGCCCAGTCTATTTTTGCTCGATTTTAAATGGCTAAAATCGGTATCGGCAGGTCAAACTCAAGGAACAATCAGAAATTGGGATCGGCCTAGAAAACTGTAATCGGAGCATCTCTACAAAATTGACAGTCATTAATAATAATCTTCACGAGGAAACACGCAGGAGAACGACATAATACTAAGATGATACTGGACACAGGAAATAAGGAAACAGTGGGTTTAAATACGTGTGTAATTGGTGAAAAACAGAACAGGGGCAGGAACTAAATGAATAACCAGCAAAACTAACTAGGAAACACAGGCAGACAGACAAACAGGGAAACCAAAACACCATGATAATAAAACAGAACATACACGTTACAGTACACCCTCCTCCGGGAAGGTGCGTACGGTCAAACAAAGGGTCTAACTGAGGAGGAAGGGTGGGGGCTCTAAAGAGGTGCAGGTGGCTTGAGAGGCCAGGGCAGTGTTGATGGTGGGAGGATCGAGGAGCAGAAGGGGGCAAGGGAGGACCCAGGATGCGCAGTCAGTGTGATGTCCCACTGTGGATTCGAGGGAGGGAGGAGCAAAGGTGGAAGTTTGGCTGATGTCACCAGGGGAAGGACTTATGGAGACGAAGCAGATGGAGGTCGAGACCAAGGTTGAGTCCACGCTGCATCAATGGCTCTGGGGACCGAGGTGGAGCCGCAGCAATGGGCGTCCGAGCAGGTGGGACTGAGGACCAAGTTGTAACCGGAGGGAAGTTGGAGTCCAACGAAGCCAAAAGGGTGAATGGATGAAGCGCAGTTGAGGGTCTGCAAGTCCGTGGCGCAAGCAGAGCGACGTCTGACTAAGGCCTAGCCGGAGGGACGATGAAGCCCATGGGAGGAGCCAGAGTAAAGCCGACAGGTCGACAAGCCGAGATGGAGCGATGGACAGGGGATCCTCTTGACTAGGCAGAGCTGGTGACCGGAAGACCAGAGTCGGATCTGCAGAGCAGAGAGGAATACACCTTGAATGAGCTGACAGAAACCAGCTGAGGTGGGGCGTATATACTGGCTGGCTTTGGAAGAGAAGGTGGGAGAGGGAGGCTGGGTGAGATCTCTGGAGACAAAGGAGACTTGTAGCGGGGCGGGACCAGTGGGCATGGGAGAATCAGGAAAATATACCCTTGCAAATCCTCAAAATATTAAGCAGAGTCCAGCTCCAGTTCACTCTCAGTGGCAGGAATTGCCCAGGGCTTTCCTCCATGTTCTTGTACTCCACGAGAAGTCCAACGGCGATGCACTGTGTTGACGGCTCACACACCTGGTCAGAATCACTGGAGCTCGGGCTTCGGGACATAAGCTCTCTGCTGACTGGGTTATGGGTCTGAAGTGGGTCTGGTGATGTCCTCAGCTGGGCAGATGGTGGAAGCCGATCCATTAGACACCAGCACCCACTCCACAGAGTGTCGAAATCCACTCTGGGACCGTGCCTTGGACTGGGTAGTGAGTTAGGCACGGCAGATAAAAAGTCCCTTGTATGGTCCTTCTGCTCCAGGCTGACAGTGAGTAGGTCCATCTTGAGGGTGAAGAAAGAAAAAGTCTTCACTATGGTGACACATGCAGGAATTTTGTCCACTTCAACCTGTCCTAGACAGTAATGTTTGGATTAGGAAACACTGTTCATTTTCGAATAGCAGAGCACATCAAGCTAGCAATGGAAAATCTCTTTTAAGCCCCTTTTACACAGCTTTAGAAAAAATTGCCGGGAAATTGCCAGAACGCCCTCTGTGTGAACAGAAGCCAGGTACAGTACCTTAAGGGGTGTGTCATAGTGATGACGTTCGTGCCGTCGCGCAACTCTGTTGCTCTTAGAAGAAAGTTAGTGTTCATCATCAACAAAGAAAGGACGGACAAATGTCTGCAAACTGGAATGAAGCAGAGACCAGGAGCTCCTCACTATCTGCGCTGAAGCTGAGATCGTTCACCAACTTTGGGTTGTGTGTGAACGCACTCACAGATCCCGGCAAATCACTGGCAGTGTGAATGAACCGAAATCAAACAATCCCAGGACAAATGCCGGGTCACATTATCCCTGTATTTTCTGGAATCTCTGTGTGAAAGGGGCTCTAGATTCCTAAACCCTTTAAAAGGTCTCAGGAGAAAATCTTTCTTGTTGACTCTATTGAGTTCCCAAAGGAAAGCACAAAGCTTCTTGCCTAGGCTCTTGGGATGTGGTGTGTCTGCCTAAACAAGGACAAACACTTGTTAAACACTTTCTAACACATGCTTTGGATCAGATTAAGCATTCAGGCCAATACTGTGCAAAGGATCGATCTTAAACTTCACACAATGGGTTTACTGAAAGCTGATTAGCATTATTGATGATAAGATGCAGAAATTTCAGGGCGCTTTTTTTACATAAGTGGCCTAAATACCTGACCACCTACTTTGGATCATCTGACAAACAGCAGTTGAGCAATGTTATCTGATGTTGAGTCACCCCGACCTCTAATGTGTCACTATCACTCTAATGTTAAAGATTTGTACTGTGTGCTTTAGGTCACCGAGTTAGCAGGCTACACGGCACGTGTGCATAACATGTTTTCGGTATTTGATGAAGTCCAGAGGGGAATATACAAACGTTCATCTGCCACCTCGGAGATAATAAGCGGGAACCGACCTGAGATGCACATCGACGGGCCTCTGGAAATCAAAGGTCTAGTGAATAAAGGGCAACTGTGCTCATCATTTACTCACCCTTATGATTAAACTCGTTCTTCTGTGGAACATAAAAGATGGTTTGAGAAATGTCTCAGTGTTTTTTTTTTTTCCCATACAATAAGAGTCAATGGTTCTTCAAGCATTCTTCAAAGTATCTTCTTTAGGCCGTGTGTCCACCAAAGCGTTTTTAGACAGCTGAAAACGCTAGACGCTCTGCTGAAGACGCCGTGCTTTGGGCGCTTGAGAGCGTTTTGGCAGTGCAACGTTTTTTTTCCGTTGAGACGTTTCGTTGCTATGATACAGAATATATGCAGCAGTTTGAATGTTGTGACAGTTGGTCGGTGTGGTATTAGTCCCGCCCCTCCTCCACTGTGATTGGACGGCTGGGTAAAAAGTGACAGTGATGAGCGCTGCGTTTTATCCAAAGTTGAACATTTTTCAACTCCCAGCGACCAGTAAAAACGCTCGGCGCTTCAGCGTAAAAAAAAAACGCTCAGCGCCTCGGTACGCTCATGCCGTTTAAAAAATGCGGCGCTCCCATTGAAAACAATTGAAAACATACGCCAGGCGCGTGGAAAAACGTTTTGGTGGACACACGGCCTTTGTGTCCCACAGAAGTTTTCATTCCTCTGAAGTTTGTTTATATTCTAAAACGTTGTCTCACTGTTTTAACAGGCAAAGTGATTGATGTGGATAAAGGTATAGTCTGTGAAAATGTGCCTATAATCACTCCTAATGGAGATGTGGTCGTGTCCTGCTTGAACTTCAAGGTAAGATAAACAAGAATAAACTGTATCTGTATCAATTACTTGTAATACTACACATCATTTACTATCAACTTTACACAGTACAATGATACCGTACATGTGTTTCTGGTTTTATCAGTGGGCAAGAGATCATAGTTTCATATTTGCCCGTGCGATTTAGGAACATGAAGTGTCTTGAACAAGTCAAGGCAAGGTTATGGGAATGTTTGGCGTTGTGCAAAGTGAAGTTTAGTTGATTGTGGTTGCTAAGCCTGGTGACAATAGAGAATTAGTATTTTACATTAAACTGATGCCATAAATATCCATAGTATAGTATTTAGCTATTTTTTAGTCTTTTATTAATTTGAAGCTGTGTTTAGATTGATGGCAACTTAATTAATTTGATATGAATAACTATATCTTTGGGTATACGTCCTTCTAGTTCCAAAAACCCAAACAGACAATTAATCAAATTAATGTTAAGTATCATATATATATATATATATATATATATATATATATATATTAAAAGAAACTCATATTGTTTATATATATATATATATACAGTATATATATATATATATACATATATATATATGAAGAGTTCAGATGCAAAAGCCTCTAAGTGCCATTTGAAATTTTCTTCTAAAGTGATCATTTTTATCAAGCTTGTATATTTAAGTTCAGTAATTTCACTTAAATGGCAATGAAGATTACCTATTAATTGTAATTTAAGTGAAATTACTGAACTTAAATATACAAGCTTGATAAAAATTATCACTTTAGAAGAAAATTTCAAATGGCATTTAGAGGCTTTTGCAT